CAAACTGTGACAAATAATCGGGACTGAGTCTCAGACCACTTTTATGTTGAGAACCCGAGAGAAAAACCGTCTTTTGTCGAACTGGCTGGTGAAATAAAGCGCGAGTTCACAGTTTTATGCTCATTTGTGTGATCCACCGCCTACACACGCCCACACACACAGTGAAGAAGAGTGAGTAAGACTAAGAAAAGACCTTTGATATTTAACTTTCATCATTTGGGAAACATCATTCTGCACAAACCCAAAATGTAGGAGAAGCGCGTTTGTATTTCTGCCACATCTTAATATGTTCTCTTCCAGCTTCTAGTTCTGTTATTAATGCTGAGTGATATTTACCTAAAACAGAAGATACACTAAACAATAACATTACTGCTTCTCACTTGCATCATAAAGCCTGTCAGCTGGCAAACAGGACCCTCATGCACATCTTACACCTTCTGCTCATCACGTATCCTCCACGAGCAAACGGCTAAATCAAACCATGCTTGCTGTTTAACAGCTCCACCTAGAGGAGCAGGAAAGAATAACCAAATGACCCCCCTGTTTAACTAATCAACCTCGTCTAGGGTCTGTTTCCTTGCTTCAAAAGACACAGATACAAAGACAGGACTTTGCAACGCGGTCCCAGTGCAAGTGTTTCAGTAAGGGGGGGAGGGAGAGGATTGTGACGTCTCTGTGAGACAGACATCAACACACATCCAGCGTATGGAAACACATCTACCAACACACACAAACAAACACACATTCAGTATTCAACCCAGCGGCGTCATAAATCACCATATAGATCAGCTCCCCCAGAGTGTACCTACTGGAATAGTTTATTCCTCTCCACATTGACAAAACAGAGCAATTCAACCCGAGTCGAGGTCGTATTATTAAGTTACTCATTATATTCCATCAGCTTGTCCCGAAGAGACTTAAGATACAAAAACATCTACGGCCCCGACCGCACACAAACACACACACACACACACATGCACCCACGGGACGCGGACACCACGTAGCGTCGGAGATGTCCATGAGGGCATTAGTGCGATATTGGTTATTTCCTGCTGTGCTGGCGAGCCTCTTTACCGGCGGGCAGAGACGCAGATGGCTCGGCCTCCTCTCGGTGATGGTCTTTGACCGGCCTGATTGCTGTGTGGTCTCTTTCTTATTCCACTGCAAAAAAACAACCTCCCCTCCCTCCTCGTCCGTGTTGCCCTATCTCTTGGTGCGTGAACGTGAAATATTGTCAGACTTATGTCATGCGGGAAATGTCGGGTCAACGGTTGGAGGCGAGTGTTGGCGAGCAGGAAGTCGGGGGAACGGGCCCGGCCTCGGCTTCAAGGTTCAGGGAAATGCAATTGTTCATGGATGAAAAAGAGCTGCCAGTCACCAAGGTTGAAATAACAATTTGAAGAAGCTTTTTGGGGAAGAGGGGGTGGGGCGAGGGGGCCGACTCTCTGGAAACATTTTGTATTCCATGATCTCATGTAAATGTTTTTAAAAGGATTCAGGGATAGACGTAAAATATTAATAGATAGAAAGATGATCGCGTCAACCTTAAGGTTTCACGCCACATTTGAAAGGAAGCTGCTCTTGGTTGGAAAGTTCATCAAGTTTAAGTAAATAAAATAAATCTGTGCTCACTGGTGCAAACCGGGACAAGACAACAGTAAATTGTTCATGTCGGAGCACAAAACCTAAACGGCGTATCCTCCTTCCACTGAGCTGCTGCTGAGTGATTCACTCGGCTTCACCACATCGCAAAGGAAACTTTAATCATAACGGCATGAAAGTGCCTGCGACCTCCAATCACAGTGATTATGTTCTGGGGCAAATCCTGGCACGAATGGGGACCCGCGTGCGAATGTGTGTGCACACACAACGATTACACACTGAAGAAGGTGCAATGAGTGAAGGAAATAACTACGTGAAATGTAACCGGGGTTGCTAGTAGAGACGTACCCACGAGGATTAGCACAAACTACAGTAACGGAGGGAGCGTCTTTTTTAACTCAACAGAACTGAACAAAGAGAGAATTTTGCTTCTCTGGGTCTGATGGATGCTTACATGGGCGTCTGTTTGCTAACACATGCTACATGTGACGTTCATAAGGGATAATGCGTAGTGTTTGCAGCTTGTTGCAATGCACAAAGCGGCTGAATTCAGATTTAAATACCAATCAGCTCATGAATGGCATAATGATGTCTAAATCATTTCGCGATGATGAACATTATTCTTGTTTTTTGTTATGTAGACACATTTGCCGATACGTTACCCTCTGAACAAGTGGCGAGGTATAAAATGCGAGAGGGACGATTGGTGGTGAGCAGAATGGATCATATGTGTTGGACTGTTATTGTAATGTTGTGTTTTACATTAATGAGACAAACAGAACACTTAAAAATGCCACTCCATGCGTGCGTTGTAAATGTTGTCTTATACGCCTAACTGTGAGATTAAGGTGTCGAATAGAGTTACAAACCTCTGAAACATTATTGCTAACGTGCTCATGATTCACCAAATTTGCCATTCATCCAAAATAACCAAAGTAGGTCCAACTTCCAATACCTAAATGTTCACAGCGAGGACCCGATTTAGAAATATAGCATTTACGTTGTTTAAAAAGAACCACATGACCCAGTTAAGGCCCCACAACGAGCACCTAGACAGTTAGGAAGGAATGAAGGAAGGAAGGAAGGAAGGAAGGGAGGGAGGTTGTGTTCTCTACTGCCCTGATCGACTTGGCACGATGATGGTTTGGAATTATGATCACTCAGCTTCCTCAACGTTGTGTCTCTCTGGTGTCAAATTCTTTCCATCCGCCTTTGTCTGGGATTTTTTTATCTGTGTTTTACGAGTTCCCTTCCTCTGCCCGTCGGCCATTCGGAATTACAGGTTTTTCCGTTCTCTCACACCACACCCGTCATCACGTGCCGTCCCCCCCGCCGGCTCCATCATGAATCACCGGATGCAATGATCAGGAGATGCAGATGAAGGCGCCACCCCCCCCCCCCATCGATTACGGGTGACAGTTAAAAAGCATGGCACAGCTCCCATCCATCGTCCGTGACACCGCGTAGAAAATATGGTGTCATCGACATCGATTAGCGATAAAAATATGTGGCAAAGACGTGTCACGGGTCCCCTGCAGAGGATCCCTCACACACACACACTGCTATTCTACTGTGCACGTTTGAAAGAAGTCCTGTGATTCAGTGGTGAGTTGTACTGACAGAAATCAACTCACAGTCCCGTGTGTGTGTGTGTGTGTGTGTGTGTGTGTGTGTGTGTGTGTGTGTGTGTGTGTGTGTGTGTGTGTGTGTGTGTGTGTGTGTGTGTGTGTGTGTGTGTGTGTAAAGGAGAGCAGCACTAAGGCCGAGTCCTCCAAATAGTCTGAGAAACAAAAACACAATTTCTCCTCTGTTAACCTCCCACGTCCGGACAGTGAACCTTGGCCGTCCCCTTGGAGATTCATGGGGAGTTTCTGAGAGTTTGGACGTATTGTCTCGCTCTGAAAATACATAGTTAAACCTGAGTAAACATATTACCACCGTATCCTTTCGCTGGCCATGATTCACTTTTCAACAGGATCCTCAGCGTCGAAGCCTTACAGGAAACGTCCGACCATGATTTGGAGTCTGTGAAACTGAAAATGAAAATAGAGTAAAAAGCGTTACATCTCCCAAGACTCCTAAACACGCAGACGTACTGTTGTCGACATCATTAGCAAACAGTTGACTGGAAGGTGCAAATACCTGACGACCGATGATCCATCGATAGGTGACTGCTGTAGGTGCGTAGCTGTGTGTAGCTCTCCCCAGGTACTAGTCCTTTGCTGCTAGCATTCCCAGCAGCAGAAACCTGGGTTGTTGGTATTCGCGAGGCCTCGGAGGGCAGCGGAACCAACAATATTATCAACATCAACAATGTTATCGTTGGATACGTCGGCCTTTAAGGCACAAAATGTTGTACTCTGCTCAACTTGTGCCGCAAAGCAAGGCAACACTATCTGTCAGTCGGAGTGTAGGCCAATCAAACATGTGCCACGGCACTAGTAGTATCAGACATATTCATTTTCCCAAGAGTTACGTGGTCTTGCTTTGACCTTTGACCTTTGCTAGAGATTAAAACAAGAGGTGCATAAACAAAGTCAGGTACATACAGTCGTGTCCACATCGTTCTATTTCCCTCCAGTGGCAGAGCTGAATGCTACGTCACGTCACTATTGTATTCTTTAACTGAATCTGTTTTTCTTTGTGCTATCATGTACATTATCCCCCCTCCTCCTTTAATTGTCCTCCAGCAAACCCTCTTGCGTTTCCCTCCATCCATTCTTCACTCACCTCCTCTTTGATGGGTGGGCTCGATTTCTCCCCCCCGCTCCCCCTATCTGTTTGATTTATACGTCCACAGTGTGTTCCTCCCCTCCTGCCCTGATGGGTGCTCACCCACACATGCGCGCACACACAAGTAGATGGATGAGCTGGTGATGGCTAAACCAGCCAGACTTCACTGTGAATTATAATCACCTTCAATCTGTGTCTCTGAATCCCTGCCCAGTTCTTATGCTCGTGTGTGTGTGTGTGTGTGTGTGTGTGTGTGTGTGTGTGTGTGTGTGTGTGTGTGTGTGTGATTATCTTTCGTGACTGTAAGTGATGGAGCAGTGAATAGTTTGTTCCCTGAAGGGCTGCGTGTGCCCGTGTGTCACCGTTCCTGCTTATTATTCCCTCGCTCCTCCGATGTTTGAGCCGTCTTTCTGTTCTGTAAGGTTTCATGTGAGCTGGAATTATCATTCTGTTTCCACTGCTGTCACATAGTCATTGGCACAGTCTGTGTGTGTGTGTGTGTGTGTGAATAACGGCTGGTCCATCAGACACTGAGCTGGTAGGAGAATACATCAAAAGTTCTCAGAGGAGACAAAATACCAATGCTCAATGGCATCTGTGAAAAGCTTGACTTGTTATACCTTCTAATACCAACTCAAACACAAGGGCACACGCTGGTGTTGGAATTGAAGAGAGTGGGATGTAATGACAAAACAAGCATTCTCATACATGGTGAACAATGGATGATAAACACAAGTAAAGAAAGAAGGCAGGAAGCCGGTGGCTTGAACGGGACAACATTGCCCCCTGCTGCTTTAAAGAGGAATTACATCCCCAGCTTTTGTTCTCGTGACCTATGAATGTCACTACCGAGCACTAATTACAGAATTCGCTTAAATGCCTCAGTCAGAAAGCCTACATGTATCCAATAGACTCCCTCGTCTAACAGGTTGTGGAACAACCTTTCTATCGTTCCACACCAGGTCCTCTCTTGGTGAGTAACACGGACCCCACCACAGCGGGCCCGGACCCGGCAGCGTACGGGAAGGTCTTGTCGTGAGCGTGTGCGATGATGGACAGAACCCCCGCGTAGGCCTCCTCGCAGGCCGGCTGGATCTGCTCCTCTGGCAGCAGGTATCTGAACTCGACTGAGGAATCATCAGGTGACACCGGAATGTTAGAAAACACAAGCCAGCGCTTTACATTCAACTGATCGCCATCCCAAAGTCCTGCCCACCTTTGTCCCTCAGCTCAAAGGTGTAGGAGAACGGGACGCCAACGAGACGAGCCCAGTCGCGGCTGGAGCCGGAGTTTGGATCTGAAGGTTGAAGAGGCATTTGTGTGTTGTGTGAAACCTGCACGTTAACAGCTTTTTCGGGACCAGGTGAGCCGAGTCTTACAGAGGAGTTGTGGGGATGTTCCCACAGTGTAGTCCATTCCGTGCACCTTCTTCATTTCTGATGCGGCTGCCTCACCGACTGAACCTGCACGAAGGAAAAAACACGAAAAAACAAAACCAGGCAGCCGGGATCTCCGTCACCAGACGACGTCACCGGGTTAGAGGAGGTGAAAAGAACGCAGACACACACCAGCTCAGCGTAGTTGGGCGCAGAGATCTCAGGGTGGCCGTAAGGCAAGAGGACGAGCTGCCCAGCGGAGTGGATGGTGAGGAAACACACAGTGCGGTTCACCATCCCACCTAGAGAGGGAGGACAAACATGTGATCTGTGTCAAGTGGACGTCACGCCGTTGATGAGGAGCCTCAATAATGACCTCTAAGTTCAGTTATCCATTCATGTAAATGAACACGGATCAAACCCATACAATGTTGATAAATAGTTTTAAATAAAAATGGTTACCAACAAAGTCCATCACAGCTTGAGCCTCTGGTTCTGAGCCTGCTGATTTCCCGCAGTAGTTGTTAGCACAACTGTCAAACGACACCCCGACCGCTGAGGAAAGAAACGACATCAAGCTCGTCCTCTCAAAACACGGGAGAGTTTGACGTGACGAGACACCGAGCCAACTGGTGGTGTTGACATTGCCGCACAAGCACACAACTCACTGCCCCAGTTGGCGTTGAAGTTCCTGTTGAGGTCAACGCCGTAGCAGCTGCCGCCCGGCGGAGGGGTCGAGCGAGACTTTCTCCACCGACGGGTCTGCAGGGAAACAAGGTTCGGACGCAGACACGGAACTCAAACAGCGTGAAGGCCGCACATGAGTTCCACGTGGGGAACCCCGGAGGGCACTCACGGTATCTGTGGCCCAGGAGAACACGTATCCGTCCACGTTGATCACGGGGGTGACGTAGACGTCGAGGTTCTGCAGCATCCGCCGCATCTTCCCGTCGGTGCGACACGAGTTGACAATCTGAAGACGCGTCCGTCAGAACCGAGCGCTGGGCGCGCGTGTGTGGCCCGTGGGCGGGATGAGGGTACAAACCTCTTTGACGAACCACTGGCAGAAGGCGGGCGAGATCCACTCCCGGGCGTGGATGCCGCAGTCCACCCACACGGCCTTCTTCTCGCTGCCCTCCGGGTGTTCCAGTCCCAACTGCACACACACACACACACACACACACACACACACACACGTTTTCTATTAAGCGTGAGTTCCCACGAGTTCTCTGGTGGGAGTCGCAGTGACCGCGTGGCAATACCTTCAGCAGGGAGATGTTTCTCCCTTCAGAGGTGTGTCCATAGACAGCAGAGGAGACCAGCTGTGGATTCCCGCGCTGCACATCTTCCATCCAACTGTATATCTGCGGCGCAACGGAATCAGCGTCACAACAATAATGGTGTTCATAGTTGTCTTTGACCAACGTCTGTTTGTAATAGATGAAGATCAAAGTGCAGATCAGAAGGGAAGCTGATGTGTGAGACGGATTGAATATCCTGTCTGGTTATTCAGGGGTTAATGTCGGCTCTGACCTCATCCATGGGGTGATATTTGGTGTAGTCATATTTCTGTGTGGATTCCAAGCCCTCCACTAAACTGTGATTTAAAAAGAAAGATACAGAAGCATTTAAGTATCCACTCAACTTAAAAATAAAAAATAAAAGCCATTATTTCAGCAACCAGCAGTATCACTTTATTTCCCTACATGGCTGAATTCACAAACACCACTAAACAAAGTTACATTTATTCAGAGGAAAACCGCTGAGCTTGGACACTGACAATCACCCCTCAACGCAGCGGCACAGCTCACCTGTAAGACGCCTCGATGCTGAGAGTCACCACGAACAAACTGAGGGGCCACCTCGTTACCTCCATTGCGCCGGTTCAACTCACTCCTGCAGCCGCTGTCCGTCTCTTCCTGTGGTAGCGGCTTTTTTCTTTTTATCAACCAGCTGACCTTGGATCTCTCTTTTTTTATTTATTTTTTCATAAGCCAACACAGGGGTCAATACACAAGTGATGTCGTCAGAGCCAAACTTAATGGCTTATGTATTAGCATCCCACTAAGAGCCACTAAAACAGCTGATACGTAAACCGACCGCTCTCTTGTTTCTACGTGTGAATCTTCTCCAAACACTCGTCACCGAGCAGACATGCTGCTCGTGTTAGAAAGCTTTGCCTCTCCTGCTGCATTCTGCACCATCAGGAGTTGCTGAATAAATGTGCCATTCATCCCTGGGCTGCCCTGTGTGTGTGTGTGTTGTTTTTGTTGTCGCTGTTGGACTCACGTGGACAATATAATTGACAGACGGCTCTCATTTGAGCCTGGTCCGGCCACGGGGAAAGGAGGACGGACGCAGCGAGTTGAGACGTCGGCCCCGAATGTTTAGTCCTCCGCTCGAAGGCGTTTTCAGGTCGGCCATTGTCTGATTGGGCGAGCATTCCAGAGGAGTCCCGTTTGAACGAGGCGGAGGGAGCGTACGTGTTTCGACTGTTGCAAACTTTTGGAAAAGGTCGATGGGAGCCAAGTACACAATCTGCTGCTGTCAGCTCTATCGGAAACACAACAGCGAGGAGAAGGATGCCATTTTGCGGTGAGGCAAACGCCCGATGAAGCACGGTCGAAAACCCCAAACCCCCCTGCCTTCAATGCTCATTTATCTGTTTTTTCCCCGTCCCCCTCTCCAGTATGCGCACCAGCGGACAGCCTGCGGTGTCCAGCGGGTCCAGCGACAGCGACACAGAAGAGGAGAGCCTCTTCGGGCCTCGGCCTTCGAGGAGGTGCACAAACGGCCCCTGTGGCTCCCCCACCAGGAGAGGGTCGGACCGAGAGTTGCAGGCTTTTATAAGCATGAGGGACCAGGCCGACAAGGCTACTGAGGTGAGAGGGTGCCGTCGTTGCATGAGAGCTGCAGAGACACAACGTGAGATTGGAAGTGACTCACGTGCGTAAATGCATGACAAAGAGGCACCACTGCTATGCTATGCTATGCTATGCATGCTAAATGCATTCAATAATAAGTGTGGAATTTATTTAGTGTTAAGACAAATTGTGGGTTATGAAAGCAGTTTTTATAGGTAGTATTATGTAAATGTGAACCGTTTAAAATTCTATTCTTTGGAAATCGTCAGCCTTTTGTGGTGCTGATTCAATGTTAGGAGAAAGGAGGTTTTTAATTGTCAAGTGCACAATAAATGTCAAAGAGGAGCTTTAAAACAATGTTTCAGTTTAGAGTGCAAACACCAGTCATGGTCTGTTCCCACGGAGAAATCAGACAACATAATTCTACACTTTAAAGTCATTGATCTACCATTTTTTTGCATATAATTCAAAACGACCTCCTTGATTTTCAAGGAAACAGTGTGGTTGAAAGTTGTTATTTTGTGGACATCATGTAAAAAGCTGCAATCCTTATCTGAATCTGAAAAAGGTAACGATACCCTTGAGTGATCATTAATTGACCCGGTTTAAGTGAATCCGTAAGTCCTAAACTTTAGCTTCATCTGATCTGTTTTACACATTTAGCAGCGAAAGTGGCCAGTTCCCTAATCAGAGACCTGGTGGTTTCAATCTGGAAAAGATGAAACAAGGATTCACTGTGTGAAACACACCAGCACCAGGAATCCCCAGAAGTTCCCTTATCCGTTCTACTGCAGCTCTCTAACTCACATCGGTAAATGTAGAATGACCTAGAATCCAAAATATGAATCATATTAAATCGGCACAATAAGAGAAAATGAAACACACAAACAGCCACTGACACAGAATACACAGGGAAGCTACTTCATTCACTTACTCAATCAGTGACCTTTCACTCCTCCCACAGTCACAGGTTGTTTATTACAGTTAGCGTGCGTGTGTGCGCGGGGGAATGATTGTTTCTTTGAAGGATCCCTTCACTACATTAAATACCTTCTCGCTGCATTTTCCTCTGCAGAGGGACCGAAATCGCTGAGTTTAATTTTGGCAAACATGTGACGCTTAGACTGAGTTGAGAATAGTTGGCTGCGGCACACAATGGGGACATTGTGTTAATAAATGAAATTCCTCGATGGAGATGTAGGCCAACGGCCTGGCTGCCCGTTCAAGGGGAATATTCAGCCAACCGTCCCAATAATGTCGTGGGACTGTTTTTAATATTAGGCCAAACAAACAAACCAAAGTGGTCCAGATTCAGCACTGAGGGAATAACTGACCCAGGAAATGAAGTCGAATAAGCCATTCTGTAAACTGCTCTGCCTTATGTTATTTAAAGTTACAGCTGACTGTTTCAGACACTTTGTCCTCCAAAATGTAGTGCAATGAGATTGTTTTTTGTCAAGAGATTGCACAGATTGCTCTTCCTCTTCTATGATGGAAAAAGCATCAAATATAAACATCAACACTGAGCTGTAATGTTTATTAGCTTTGCGGTGCAAGGTGAGGCTATAACCTTCCTTCTACATATCAGGTTTTTTGCACTTTTTAAATTGGCTCTTTTCTCAGGTTGAACGCTAAAGCCCTTGGTTCATCCACACATGCACCATGTGGTACATTGTGCTTGTCGTGTTCCAGGAATGGGAGAAGCTGAACTACGACATACACTCGTTACGCTACGCCAGGCGGGAGGTCCGATCTCGGTGGAGGAAGATCCTGCTGCAGCTCGGTGGGACACTCACGCGGATGCGGCCCAGAGTCCAGATGTTGGGTTCCGTTGTGTGATCTCCCTTTCACCTGTGGGCAGGTTATCAGTGCGAGGTGGACGCCTTGCTGCGCGTGAACAAACAGAGGCGGCTCAGTCGGGATCAGGACCGACTCAACAAAGCGGGCGAACTGTTGAAACAGCTGGTGGACCGCACCTCTCTGTTTCCCCCGGAAACGGAACACCAGAGCAGATACCTCTGCGTGATGGTACACACACACACACACACACACACACACACACACACACACACACACGCCGTAGTTTGTTTCATTCCCTTCGCCTCCTGTGCCCCTGGTTATCTTCCCGGGCGGCATCACTGCGGATGATGAAAAAGGGCGTCTCAGTGATCGGCCCTACTTTGACCCCCAAGAGGTCACTGTAAATAAAAGAAGATCCAAGTTAAAAACAATTCATTCTTTAAAAGTGCCATCCGCGACCACACTGATTTTAAAGGACTCAGCAGCTCATTTAGGGAGTTTTACTGAATGTCTCTGTTAAATCTCTTTCCCACCTGTTTCATTCTTACTGTGCTGTGTTCTTTCTCTCAGGACCGCCTGGTGTCACTGGACAGCGCAGAGGACTTTGTCAGACTGGCTAAAGAAAAATATCCCCAGCAAAGTAGACTGAGAGACAATGACGTGAAAAAAGAAGACATATGAGCGGGTAAAGAAATATTTTTAAATTATACTGTGAAAGTAAAGCATTTGTTTTTTTGCCAAACTCTTAACATTCATTCAATTCTGTAGGAAAATGTAGTTCTAATGCCAAATTAAACCTTCTCTTTGATGTATCCTGTTGATTGATTGTCATATGGTGTTTTGGTTGTTTGGACAATTCAATTGATAATGATGTATAAAGATACATATTTTCAATGTATTCATTTTCTTTTATAGTAGACGTATCACTCATCTAGTATTGCTGCTGCACTTGTGCGACCTACGACCTGACATATTAGGTCTTTTTATTTCTAAAGTCAATATCTTGTCTTAAAAAATATCATGGAAAAATGTTGATAAATATTTTCTCACGATCCATATTAAAGGAGTACTTTACTAACAATATGACAGTTGGTATATTAATTATTTACTACATGCTGCCTTGAATTCTGAATCCTCATTGGTGAACCCAAAAAAAAATTAAAAGAGAAAAAGTATGGAAGTAAATATGGACCGCATTACCCACTCTGTGGTTGAGGTATTATTTTGAAGGAGAGACTATAATAATAATGATTCAAAAATAGTGTTTTCCGGGGTAATGGGTGTTTTTTTGCTCATCTTGTCAATAAAAACATATTTTTGCTCAGCCTAGTTGGAGGCGCTCAATCAGCCTTGTGACTGTTTCCTGATTCAGCCACAAGGTGGCAGCAGAAGCTTTTGTCCTGCTTCAGTGGGTTAGATTGGAATGTATCGATTTAGATGGAAATGTCTGTGTCACAGATGGGGTAAAGTGTTATCGTTGAGCCTACTTAGCTAATTCTTCACTGTTAAAATGATTATATGTTATGAGTTTAGCTGCCCAGCACCTAAAACCAACCCATGAAAGAACATGGTGAACAACGTCAGAGATGAAGCCTGAAAGAATCTCATCTTCTGAACAGAATGCAGATGTTAATGTCTCATCTTGGCTTTCATTCCAAACTCATTTTGAGTTCTCAACCACACACACACACACACACACACACACACACACACACACACACACACACACACACACACACACACACACACACACACACGCACGTTTCGGGACACTGTGCCGTCTTCCGGTTCTTAATGCAGTCGGTGGCTGTGGTATGTCGTACAGACCTTCATGCCTGTGTGCACGCATGCAGAGAGAAAGACAGAGCTCACTTTGACCTAAATATTGTTCTCTCCAAGGCCCCCTCCCAAAGTTTGGGGAAGCAGATGTGGAACCAAAAGGGGGAGGGGAGCAGCACGGGAGGCAGACCAATAGTCTGGTAGAGCTGAAAGCCATTGTGCTGCTTGCACCTTTTTCTGATTATACCACTGCATGTGTGTGTGTGTGTGTGTGTGTGTGTGTTTGTGCATTTCAGATTGAGTAATGACATCATTCTTGAGACTTACTGAATTTCAGGTCTGAATTTCTACAACATTTCCCAAAAGCAATAGGCGAGACATGTCAGCATTCTTCTGTTGATTGGACCGAAATATGACGTAAGAAAGAGGGGAATGATTAAGACGCTGGTCAGAGAAAAATGGTCACATACGGTGTGCGTGTGTGTGTGTGTGTGTGTGTGTGTGTGTGTGTAGGCCATATTTCCACAGCTCAGTAAGAGGTCAGGCGTACATTATGATCACACACACACACACACACAGACGATGACCATTCAAACTGCGGCCCCAGCTTAAGGTTTCCTATTGAGTCTCCAGTGGGGTGTTGTCCACACGCACGCACACACACACACACGAACACTCGGTAATTGGTAGCGCAGGTTTGGAGAACCCGGGCCACAGTGTGCTGACCTTTGCGACTCCCAAAAGAAGGTCAGAGGTCAACGGTCCGCACAGAAAAGGCGACGTGGTTAAGTCTTCTCCCCCCCACTGCTATTTTAATATTGTATACGCTGCGGGAAGCAGCTTCAGATTTGAAGGCGTAGTCTTATACAATTTGAACTGCGTTACTGTGAGGAAACAATAATCCTAAAACTAAATCGACCAAATGTATTTACAGCTCACTCCTTTTTTTTCTGTGCAGCTCGACGTTGCCGTTTCTCCGGCAGTCATGAGAGGCCTGTTGTTCTTTAAATCACTTTCATTCTTAGCTTCTGGGCTGAAGCAGAGTTTAGGGCAGAACACACACACACACACTTGTACACACTCACACACCACAGATGGGCGAGGCGGGCTGTTTTCTACAGCATGCCTGTGGTCATCAGCGGTGGATCAGTAATTACACAACTGCACTCTTAAAATATCACGAATAATTCCCCTCAAATCAAGCATGATTAAAGGAGGTGAACGGGATGTATGCGCATTGTTGCGGTAATTGTTATTCTACGATTGCAGGGTCTCAGGAATCAAAAGGAGGACCACCGCACAATGGCTGAACACAATAGACAACAGCAGCAACTGTGTTTTACACAGTTAGACCCACAACATTCCTTCTGTGAACTCTGGCGCGGTACAAAAAAGTGTTTCTGTTTAGGCACATTTCAACCCCACATATGTAAAGTTTTGCTTCGTAACGTAAACTTAACTTAAAAATTGTGACATCAGAAAATGTCACTGTTTTGCATCTTTACGTGGGAGGAGTTTTTATGTCTGGACAGAGTATGAAACCTTGGGGGTGTGTATGCATTCGGAGGACACACAATCGCTACGATCAAGTCCTGCGGCTAACAAAGAGGCAGTATTACAAACACATAAACATGTCACTATGACAAAAGTAAAGAAAGTGTAGGAAGAAGAGAAACGGGTTGTGATGGAGAAACTTTCTTTGGAAGTGTCAAAAATAGTGGAGGTGGAGGGAAAAAACGGGAATAAGTGAAGGTTATTTTTGTCATTGTCTCTTTTTCAAGGAAAAGTCCGACTGTGATTCACTCCCACGATCGACCTGCCAGCGTTTTCTGTCACCAATCACCCGATGTTCACCCACAGTGAACTGACCTGCAGCCGTGACCTCAAAACAACGCACAAACGCACGTCCACGGCTCCGTTGACGCGGATCAGAGGGCTGGATGAGCACCTGGTGGCGTGAGGACTGCGTCCGCACTCACTGGGGGAGAGAGGAGCCTCTTTTTGTTGGCTGTGGATGATGTCACGTAATGATGCCGCAGGTCGACATACAAACACACACACAAACATAAACATGCAGGGTTCATACTTAACATAGGAAGTCCTGCAGAAGTGTTTAAGACCTCCTCACCTCCAGGCGTAGGAACAGAAGTTCTGGAAGGGTTCTAATTCTGATTCCATGGTTCTGGATCCAGTGCAGGGTTGGTCAGACCGGAGCACTGATGTACTGCATGAAGCCGGAAAAGGGAGTCGAGTACGGTGAGATCATTTGGTGATGGTTTGGACCTATTTGGTGATATTTCTATGAAAAATCACAAGCAACGCTCTTTGGAAAGATCCAAAATTCTGCCTGAAATCATGCCATAATGGCCATAATGGCACAGTTGTCATCAAGTATGTTTCATTTGGAGATTTGTTTGGCCAGTTGATGACTTCTATATACGTTCACTGCGATTGATCACACTTGTCTTGGGCGGGATCAAGACAGTAAATAACGTCAGAATATGCGTCTTTCTGGAGGTTCGGAGCAGTTATGTGAACTATAAGAGCAACTCTCCCAGGAGAGTCCTGAATGCACTTTGAGCTCCACCTCCACGGAGCTCCTACTACGCCGCTACAGTTTGCACGCTCTGCTGCACCTTAGAATGCAAAGTCCACCGGACCAGACGACCCGCTCAGCTCAAACCTGCAGGGCAAACGCGGTAGTTGGGTCGGATTACGGCTGAATCGTGTTTTCACCACATGGAAGAAGCTCCAGAGTGGGTTTGTGACACAGACCACCTCTTCCCAAAGGAGGACTACAAAGTGCATTTGTGAAAACATCCTTCTGTATACCTTCAGCAGACTGAGTAGAAGAATCTCTCTGCTATCTGGCACTGGTGAAGTCAGCGTCCCAACTCGATTTAGATGAAAATCTTTGGGGAACCTCGGCGCTCATAAAGTCTGCCCAAGGCTGCCAGACATCACGGGTGATTCATGAATCACGATAACATCATCAAAGGTCCAATCATTTTTCTACCCATCCATCATTTGTTTTCTGCCTTTCAGCGTGCTGCAGCTAGAATGATCTGTCGAGGACATTTTGTTTCCCCAAAGAACAATCTTTTGTACTCTTTCATTCATCTACTAAAGCTTCCCGTCATCATTTCCATGTCGGTTAATGGAAATGGTTCATAATTCATTCAAAATCCTGGTCTAAAAAATATGTTAAGACCAGTGCAAGTCATTGTTATTGAACTATATCGTTATTTTCACTTTTCATTCTTCTTTCTTTGGAAAAGAAAGTGAAATTTCAGCTTTTCTCAGCAGAAAGTTGAGCGGTTCCTGCGGGCGTAGCTACTGTAGCGGTAGAGCCAGGTCCTCCCTGAGGATCTGAGTAACAGGTGGCAGACGGCCACGCTGCACACCTCCTCGGGCATCTGTTGCTGAGGGGATTTCCTAATCCCTCTTTAGCTTTGAGCCGGGGGCTGTATTTTTCTTTGGGAAATGCATCTCCTTGACTCTGCAATCTCCACTTTCTATGATTCACCGTGCAGATATCCACGCAAGTAGGTCTACACACACACAGACACACACAGACATGACAAATTCTGGGCTACCACCACGATGAGCTCATTGAAAAACAGCTGTCCTTCGCTCACAAAGGTGGAATGAGGGGGGAAAGCCTCCCGTGTCCCCTGATCTGACGTCCGCACACTGTCCGCATCTCCGTCTCTCACTCACTTTTTGAGCTGAATGGGCCATCGACCTTCCCCTCTGTCGTCTGTCGTTTGTGTGTCTGCGTGCGTGCACGTGTGTGTGTCACTTCAAACACTTTGCTGCTCCCTTCCCTCCGGGAGAGACGCGTCAGACGCACACGGTACGGTTAAATGACAGAGCGCAGCGGCGGTTGGTTCAGAGGGGCAGAGGGCAAAGAGGCCAATAGAGGCAGCCGCTTAGGACACGGAGGCACGAGAGGCGGCGCCGCGAAAAAAAAAACCCACATCACCGGGGAGATCAAGGGGACGGGCGACGAATAGATGCAGATGGAAAATCA